AACTGGCCCGTTCACTGCTTCGACATCACTGGCAGTTCACAATTGACCATTTCCGGCCTCATTCTCGATAACAGAGCCGGCGACAAGCCCAACGCCAAGAGCGGCGGCTTGCCCGCCGCGCATAACAGTGACGGTTTTGACATTTCGTCCAGTGATCACGTTACTCTGGATAACAACCATGTTTATAACCAGGATGATTGCGTTGCTGTCACTTCTGGTACCAACATCGTTGTTTCAAACATGTACTGTTCCGGCGGTCATGGTCTCAGTATCGGATCTGTTGGTGGAAAGAGCAACAATGTCGTTGATGGTGTTCAGTTCTTGGACTCGCAGATTGTGAACAGTGAGAATGGATGTCGCATCAAGTCCAACTCTGGCACAACTGGCACGGTAAGTAAACACCTGACGCAAAGGATCCTGTGGCTAAACTAACTGAACATCAGATCAACAACGTTACTTACCAGAACATTGCTCTTACCAACATCAGCAAGTACGGTGTCGATGTCCAGCAGGACTATCTCAACGGCGGTCCTACTGGAAAGCCCACCAACGGAGTCAAGATCAGCAACATCAAGTTCACCAAGGTCACTGGAACCGTGGCCAGCTCAGCTCAGAACTGGTATATTCTGTGCGGCGACGGTAGCTGTTCTGGATTTACCTTCTCTGGAAACGCTATCACCGGGGGCGGCAAGACTAGCAGCTGCAATTATCCTACCAACACTTGCCCTAGCTAGATAGAAGCAGGACGCTTATCCTAGTCGAAGAGTGGGTTTCCTGTTGTTGTGCTGGAATGTAGCGACAGCTTTGAGACTGGGTCTACCGTTATCAGACGTATCGGTCATATATTTTACATTGAATTAGTGCACTGAGTCTGTATCCATTTTATCCACGTGAGGTACCTACAATGAGAGTACTATCTAATCAGACCGCCACCGCTGGAGTCTGGTTAAGATGATGATCTGCCTGTCTCACTAATATTGATGATTCAAGGTCCTCAAAATATCAAACAAGTAGTCACTTGAGCGCGCCAACACAAGGTGTAGTCTGCAAGGTTGTTAGGCGTTCGTCTGACTTGCTGGTAAAGTGGATCCCTAAGCTACTCGAAATTCCACAAAGTATACCCTAAGATTGACAAATCTTAGGGCAATATCCTGAGTCACCCTAAACTCGTCATAAACTTGTCATAAACTCATAAGAGATATGAGTCTAGTTAGGTAACTTTAGATCATAGCCATGTCGGGCAATGTCCTCCAAAAGCCACTCCACAGGTGTGGCGTAAGTGACATCATGGCTTCTAAATGGATCTTTATTGGCCTCCAATCCTGAAGTTATCATTCCGCCGATTCGACCTTGCAGGTCAAAGACACAAGCACCTGCATCTCCCTCGGCAGAAAATGGCTTCTGGCCGTCCATTCCAATTATGCACCATTCACTCGAAGTGACATCCTTGACACGAATGAGAGACTGAATACCATTGGCACGCCCCATAGTGAAGCCACTCGTCTTGCCGTGCTTCATGACCACAAGGCCACGGTCATCTTGCTCACTTCTGGGGATGACACGTGGTCCGACCGCGACCTCAAGAGAAGTTCCAAAATGTAGTCGCTGGACACGATCGATTGCGGACCCAGGGACACGATGGACCATCAATCGCAGCGCTAGGGTGACTGGGATTTTGTTTCGCAGTTCACTGAGCTTGGTGGTAAAGCCATCCTGTTCTAGTTCCACCAGAGCCCAGTCCCTCAGTCTCCCATGCTGAGAGCAGACTTGGATACGAGGCGAGAACTCAACACGACCAAGGAGAGCGCAAACACCAAACCGGTCCATGTATGGTTGGCAAGACTGGAGCAAACTCTTCTATTGTAAATGCCACTTGATCTGTGGTTGGTTTTCTGGGGTATTGTGCAAAGGCTCTGAGAAGATCTGAATGCATTCATCATTTGTTGCTTTGTCTCTGTCGAAGTGCGCCGTCAACTTGTTGAGGGTTTCGCCTCCTGGCTGAAGGACATCCCTGGTGTTGTTCGCATACTGGTGTCGGTACTCCTCGATGTCTTCCGCCGCAAAAAGAACTTTACGACATGTGAGTACGTATGCCTTCCCATCGCTGTCGTGTAGGTAGACACCCTTACTTCCTTCTTTGGATAGTCCCAATGGAAAGGAAGATGTACTCTGAGATGTCGCGGAGGGCGTCGTATTTCTTGTCAAGTATGTCGTTGTCAAAAGGGCCCGGGTGGAGGCGCGGGGCCTCCTTGCCAAGGCTAGTAGTCGGGTCGGACTGAGCTGAGCTTGGGCTCGAGGAGGCGGTAGTGATGATGCTTTCTTTAATCTCGACTTCGATGTCCTCGAGATTGAATCTGGCCAGTATTTCCTTACAGGCGATGATCGCTGCTTCTGCCTGTTGGAACGTGGTCGAGTCCGTGGAAACGGAAATGAGCATGGTGACAGGGCGCTCTGGTATCCGCCGATAGTCATCCCCGAAGCTTACATACCCAACGCGCAAGATGTCAATAGCGGTCCAGTCAATGCTCGTGCGAGTGAGCACGCCGACGACGAGGCGCTGAAGAGATCCATCCTTGCGGGTCATTCCATGGTTGTTGGATCGCGTGCCCTGTGGCAACATCGAGCTTCTTGCGGTCTGGCCATTCGCGGCGCGCACTCCATGGCGTGGTACTGGAACTTGAACGGGCGATGAGTTTTGGGCGGCTTGGAAGGCCGTAATAGTACCCGAGGCGTTCTCGTTCGCTAGGCTCCTGAAGAGACATACTGATGGGATGAAAAAGGATGAAAAGTGCCTAAGTGGTAAAAGTGTCTGTTATGGGGATGAAATGAGTATAGTCGGGATGAAAAGAGTTGAGAGTTGATGGGAAGTCTTTGTACGAAAGATGTTTAGAAGCAACAGTTTGAGGTTGACGTAAAAACAGTACAGGAGAAGGTCATGATTGCTAAATGTTTATATACTGCCAGTGGGAGTGAATAAGTGGGGCCAGGCTGGCCTTGTTGAGCCACGAACGAGAGTAAATGGGGCACTCATAGTTGTGCGGGTATGACTCGCCGAGTAAATGCAACACATTTCGCTCGAACAAACATCACAAACCATTGCCCCTTCGCCAGCTTCGCGACCAATGGCACGTTCGCAATCGATACCCCCTTTTTGTTCAAATCATTGACTTATTCAATGAAGAACCCTTATTTAGTTGGGAAGATGTAGTTAGGTTCTGTCTGCTGGAATAAGCTCTCAGCCCCAAGTCTCACTTAGCATGCTGGTTGAGGTTCATACATTCAGTTATATCATGGTATACCCTGCTACCGTAGTCATAGGGGGTATCTGCCGTTGCTGGTCTCATACTGTACAAGCAATGTGACCTAAATTAATGCCCAATCAATTCAACCGGTTAAGTTTATTCTTCTTCTGTACAGCATACAAGAACAAGACGTGCAGTCATTCCTGTTCACCAGACTTCTTAGTCATTGCTCAAATGCTATCATTGGCCTTGCAACCTTGAAATACTTGATTAGAACCTCGGTTATGGAATGGCATTTCGCTCAGACCAGATACACAAATTCATTCAGTGTGATCTGGCCACTGGCAGAGATTGTGCGGTGGGATTCAAAATTCATTATGAAGTAGTTCGGCAACGCAAGACAGTGCTTTATCATTATTTGCATGCTGAATCCGGACATTGTTGGAGTTGGTCGGTAAATTGACTCAGGTGCCAGTGTCTGAGCATACAACACATGTTTTGCGATTCCAAGGCCTGAAAAATTTAAAGTACGCCACCGACATGTTTATCGTCTCATAATCCCAACAACCACCCACTTCACAAAATAGCTATCAGAAATTCCGAGAAATACAACAACATCGTCTACCAAGATAAAACTCTATACAACATCAACAGCGCATCAATATCCCGACACAACCATCATGTCACTTGTCAGCATGCTCGATGGCCTTCAAATTGGGGTTCAAGGCCTCACCAAGGACTTGAAGTCGCGGGACATGGATTAACTTACTGATCTTGTGAACCAACTCATGAAAGACATGAATAAAGTCGCCTCTGCATTTCAGGAACCGACTTCTGAGGAATCCAACGACTCAAGCCTTCTTACGGAACACCACAAGCTTCTTGAGCTGACGAAGTTTGACGCCAAGCTTACATTCTCGGAAATGGACCGCGACGAGGCTTTCAAATACCCCTGGATGACAACCAGCAACTGCGAGGAGCGCTTCAAGACGCTGGAACTCTCTATTCAGTATTTCGCTGACCACGTCATTGATGCTGGACCTAGCATGCGCGCCTGCATCGCACCGTTCACAAAGCTTGTTGTGATGTTCAAGGGCATTGTGATGGAATACCTCAAGCTTCGACACCGTCGTATTGTCATGCAACTTGATCCGGCTGTCAAACTCAAGGCAGATGATCCAGATACGCAGCACTTGGACAAGGAAGAGGTGCTGAGCTATGTATGCCGTCCGTTCTCGATGCAGTTCATTGCCGATTGTCTTTACCGATACTACCAAAAGACCCTCCAGCGCGAAGCTGTTTCCATCAAGCTCTCTTGGGACGGTAACAAAGGGGATTGGGCCGCAAAGCGAGAGCAATGGTCTCACGCGTTGGTGCCGGAATGGGAGAGTGGTGCTATTCAGATCATCATGATTGAACCCAAGAACCTGATCAACTCCCATTTGAATGTGAACCAGCTGTACGACGAGGAGCGTGACCTTCCTGCTCATCCTCTTCTCCAGTGGTGTAAGCTTGATTTAATCGATCGTGAAGAGGGTGTTTTGCACTGGAGTCTTGGAGGTGTTGTTGCTTGGAGATTCTATGGGGAGGATGAATGGATGGATCGCTTTGGTCATATCATTGATGAATGTGAGTACCGATGAGTACTCCGGGCTGCCTTTATGAGAGGACAGGGGATGGTCACTCAGAGTTACCCAGATGCTTGCGACATCATACGAGAGGAGGACTGAAGATGTAGGAAATCTTTTACGACGGTGCTGGTGGCAAGTACCAAGCTGTAAAACAAAGATTATCCTCAGCCTTTTCTTTAACTAAATAAAACTGACTGGATCTAAAAAGAGAGATCGTGAGATGGGCGCGTAGGCTTGTGAATCGTCGTGAGGTGAACGCGCAACCTAGTACTTACCCAAGTCGGTGATTCCATTTTTATGAGAAGTGGATGGGTCGTTACGTGTTCTGGAGTGTCGAC